GGTTCAGTTCCCAGTACCCACATGGTGGCTAACAATCATTAGTAACTCCAGTTCCTGGGGATCTGACACCCTCTTATGATTTCTGTGGGTTTGCACTCATGTGGTGCATTTACATAGAGGCAAATCACTCATACACACAAAAATAAATACATTTTTAAAGTAAAACAAACCACTGAACAGAAAGGTGTAAATTACAGGTGTTTAAGATCGAGCGGTCACTGGAGCTTCAGCATGAGTCACCTTATAAACAGATGAGGGTAGAGGAGTGGGTGGGGTCATGTGGGAGGTCATGGCCACTTTGAATGGTCAGGACCCTGAAGATAATGGAAAGTCACTGCAAAGCTTTAGGCAGCGACACTGTTCAGCCAGCCTGTATGACAGCACTGCATATTCACCGCTGCTACACACTGGGATTAAAGCTCCCCTACAACCAGGCCTCACAAATCTCTCTGCACCTAGATTTTAAAATGCTTCAAAATAAGAACTAGTTGGCCTTTGAATTAAAAATAGGTCCCTACATGTCTATCTACCACTCATTTAAATAAAGAACACATCTTACAGAATTTTCTTTTTCATAGATATCATAGTGCTGAAAAGGACCACTTTTCTTTCACTGAATATTTTGGCAGTAAACTTATAAGAACTGGAGTTACAGCTGGTTTTGAGCAGACATGTGGGTGCTGGGAACCAAACCTAGATCCCCTGTAAGAACATCAAGTGCTCTTAATAGCTGAGCCATCTCCCCAGCCCTATAAGCATATTTTGGAAAATAAAAACAGAGGCTAGGCCTGGTGACTCACGCTTTTAATTCCAGCACTTGGGAGGCATTGTGCAGGCAGATCTCTGTGAATTTGAGGCCAGCCCAGGCTACATGGCAAGTTCGGAGCCAGTCAGAGCTACATGGTAAGATTCTGTCTCGATATACAAACAAACAAACAAACAATTTAGAGAAAAGAAATTTGAGGAGTTAAGGGAAGAAATTAGCTCAAAACACTCTAAAACAACCACCAGCACTTAACACTGATCTCATCAACTCCCCAGACTTAAATGCCACACAGTCATGTTTGCTTCCAGCTGCACCCTCAGCATACAGAGCGGTGCTTGGTGTAATGAAGAGCTAAAGAAATATTTGTTGGTGGCTGAAAATGTCAAAGTCAAGGTAGCTTGGGTCGGTGAGTCATGGCAGCTCCGCGGGTGAAGGTGCTTGCCACCAAACCTGAAGACTTGAGTTCAGTCCCTGGGCCCCACATGGTAGAAGGAGAGAAACAACACCTACAAATTGTCCTCTGACTGACACTCATGTGCCTTGGCACGTGTGTACATGCATATGCATGCATGTACACACACACACACACACTGAAATGGGAAAAAAAATTTAAGATAGCTCATAATTTTTTGCTTCCACTCTGTGAAAGTGAAAACGTCAAGACACTATTCTCATTCTTTTTGCAAAGGTCTCCTGGGGTTGGGTGTGTGCCCTGGTTGTAAGAGTGCCTGCCAGGTGGCATGCACAAAGCCTTGGGTTCAATCCCCAGCACCTCATAAACCAGGCATGATTGTTGAAAGTCTGTAAATTTAGCACCCCAGGGCAGAGGAAGGATCAAAAGTTCAAGGTCATCCTCAAGCCACCTAACAAGTTTAAAGCCAGCCTGCACTACATGAGACAGCCTCAAAAAGGAAAAAGTTCAATCAACCTGTTCTGCAGAGCACAGAAACAAACAGAAAAATCATATGCCTCAAAGGAGTGTTCCACTGTCTAGATAGTAGGGGCACTGTCAGCTAGACAGGGTAAGAGGACTGACAGCTCGTCTGGGACCCGCCTCCATCGCCTCCAGCATCTCCTCTAGAAGCTGCCATCAATTTGGTTACATTTTCATCTTAATCCATTGTGCAGCTGGAGTAGGGCTTAGTGGTAGATTGTGTGTGTGTGTGTGTGTGTGTGTGTGTGTGTGTGTGTGTGTGTATGAGAGGACATTAAATTGCGTGAGAGGCAATGGGGGAGGTGTGGATAGGGACTTAAATACCATCAAACTACATTGTATGAAGTAGTGCACATACATGGGAGATGAGAAAGCAGAAGGACAAGTTTCATTTTCTTTTACTGTCACGATGATTAGACGCACTGTCTCACCCCTCTGAGAACAATCACTGACAGTCACGTCCCACGCTCACTAGCTGGTTCAGAGAAAGCAGTCAGAGCAAAGTCTGTTCTAGATGGGGGACACAAGGGAACCCATGTAGGAACCTGCAGCGTGTGTGACACTTAGTTCCAGAAAGGACACCTATGACTCTGGTTAGCACTAGCCCTGAGAAATCTCATGTGTTTGTTGTTCACACACACACACACACACACACACACACACACACACACACACACACACACACGTACACACATCCCTGGGACAAGCCTGCATACCACTTCACGGAGATGACCAGGATGATGATGCAGAATATATCTGATACAAACTGTCCCAACAAAACAATACCAGACGCCACACACAGAATATTTACATGTGGTTTTTTTTTTGTTTTGTTTTGTTTTTGTCTTTTTGAGACAGGGTCTCCTTGTAGCCCCAGCTGTCCTGGAACTCACTATGTAGACCAGGCTGGCCTTGAACTCACAAAGATCTGCCTGCCTCTGCCTCCCGAGTGCTGGGATTAAAGGCATGCGCCACCAAGCCAGGCCTTTACATATGTTTTAAAACAGAAACTGGTCCAGTCAGCAAGATAGCTCAGTGGGTAAAGGTGCTTCCTGACTGATGAGGTAAGCCTCAGGACTTGAGTTCAATCCTCAAAACTCACACAAAGGTGGAAAAGAGAAAACCAACTCCACAAAGTTGTCCTCTGACCTCCATACCTATGTCCCCTCTCACACACATAGCAGTATAAATTAAACAATTTTTTAAAAAATTGGTGAGCTGGGCGTGGTGCTGCATGCCTTTAATCCCAGCACTCAGGAAGCAGAGGCAGGTGGATCTCTGTGAGGTCAAGGCCAGCCTGGTCTATAGGGAGACCTTGTCTCAAAGAACAGAAAAAAAGAAAAAGAGAAGAAAAAGAAAGAAATTGGTAAGTAATAGGGTTATATATAATGCACTATGGTAAATATTGGCTCACTCCCCTTCTTATGAATGTTGGCGACCTGAAAATTTGGCATCCCGAAACTAAATTCTCACAGGACAGCCTATGTGTCTGTCCCCCGCCATCACGCCTGTCCACTTTCTGCCCCTAACTTGATTTCTGTGACTACACCTCTAGTGTAGCTACTAGGAACGCTGAATCCCAGAAATGTAAATATGGCGAGGTGTTTTGAGTCCACTTTCAGATACGAAGGTAGCTTCCAACAGCATTCAAAACTGCCAATGATAAGGCTGCCCTAAGAAGAGCCAGGAACTATTCAAGGATGGCAGGCATAGGGCCACTCTCACCTAGAACGGACACCCACAAGCCACCTGGCACAGTATTAGAAACCAGTGTACTGGGACATCCCAGAAAGAGGCACTGTGATCACATGCTACCTATGGAAAACAATTTTGAAAAACAGCCCAGTCTGAATCAAAGAGGGAGTTTGTTACTGTCTTCTGCCCACAGCTGCCTGGCCGATCCCACCTCCAAATCATCATAAACCATCAAAAAAGACTTCACGGAACGTGAAAGCACAAGGCTGTGAACAGGAATTGCCGATAATAATTTGAAAATCTGTAACCTGAATGTTGAGAGTTGTCTTTGGACCGGCTCCAATTGGAGGTTCTCCCTGTGTTTGCCTTCATTATTACCCACTTCTCTAGGCAATAAAATGTCAGGCTGGGTTTATTCAACAGAGATGGATTTAGACCTGGGCACCTGTTCAGATGTTAGAACAGATTGAAACCAGAGCGATGGTTTATGAACATCCAAAGAGATTTCTAAGATGCTAAAAACAGCCCCACCCACACTGCCCACAATAGTTCCATGAACTTCACTCTGGGGCTGCCTAACATCCCTCAGACAGAAACACTACCAGGTTTGCATTTGGTTCTACCCAGATGTGCTAGGATGCTTATTTAAAAACCAATCTCAGCTTGGTGGGCTGGCTCACGTCTTTAATCTCCATACTCGAGAGACAGATTTCTGTCTCTGTGAGATCAAGGCCAGCCTGGTCTACTGAGCAAACAAACAAAAAAAATCTCCCCAGGGTGTGGTGGTGCAGGCCTTTAATCCCAGCACCCAGGAGGCATAGGTGGGTGAATTTCTTTGAATTCAAGGTCAGCCAGGGCCTCAAAGTGAGAACCTGCAAACAAAACTACAAAACCGATCTCCCAGCTTTGCAGTGACTGTGCTTATCAGGGACTGTGACCAGTGTTCATTCCAAAGACAGCAAAAACTCAACACCCATCATACAAGTTGAAGGTATAAAACAGCTTTTAAGGTTACTGAAGGGATTTCTTATGTCACTAGCTCTCAAGAATTTCTAAGAACACAGAACTAGCACAAGATTCAGTAAAACCACCCAAGCTAATCATCTTCTAAGGACTTAAATCTTTTTTTTTTGGTCTTTTTTGAGACAGGGTCTCCCTGTAGCCCCAGCTGTCCTGGAACTCACTATGTAGACTTGAACTCACAGAGATCCGCCTGCCTCTGCCTCCCCAGTGCTGGGATTAAAGGCGGGGCCACCATGCCCCGCCTGACTTAAATCTTTTTTCAAGTTAAATATTCGGTTTTCCTGAGTGGAACATCAAGAAACACAATCTAAAGAACGAAATTAGAAGAGGTGGCATTGGGGTCAGTGAGACAGCAGGTAAAGGTGCTTGCCACCAAGCTTGAGGACCTGAGTCCACTTACAGGGACCCATATGGTGGAAGGAAAGAACAGACTCCCACAAGTTGTCCTCACCTCTACATACAAGCTGTGGTGCCGGCCCACACATATATATATATGTACACACCTTCTCACTTGAAAAAAAAGTAGTAAACATGCAATAATTAAAAAGAAAAAAAAAGGAGGTGGTAATGGTTGATACTGACCTGGAATCCTATTGAGTGTCACCCAAAAATGTTCATCGGGGCTATAGGTGTCTTTAGACCACCAAAGGAGATCAATGGCCCTTTTGTCACTTAAGATGAAGTTGACAAAGTCTCTGGTGAGGGCCACATAAGCTGTACCAAAGTAGATGGTCATCTGGTGTGGAGGTGGACTTTTCAAAATATTCATTTTTTTCACAAATGGCCCTCCTAGGCCTCTGTATTCGTGGTGGACGTATTTAGTTCGCACAACTGCATGGGCTGGAGGCAACACCCCGGGGGTGATGTTTTTCCCCTTAAACCCTTTCAGATACAAAACTATGTCCTTGTTGGTTTTCAGGGGGAAGTCTTGGCCGCAGGTGTTGAGGACGTACTTCCAGGGGACCTTGGAGGTCACCAAATCTTTCATGCAGTTCAAGTCAGCCTGGAGCCGGGAGAAGCCTGCATAGACCACAGATTCCCTCTGGGAAGCCAGGAAAGCATTGGGGAAGCACTTGAGCAACTGCAACACCAGGTTCTTAAACTCGGCGGAGGCTTTCTCATCCACGTGCACGCAGTATACATTCTGGGGCATGTAAGTGGCCCTGAACAGCCTCTCGAAGGTGCTGAAGTCTTTGTGAACCACCATGACGTAGGCCAGGGGGAAGGCCACCTCCTCCTGGGACAGGGGGCTGGTGATGTAGTGGCTCTGGTTCAGATAGTTCTCGCAGGAGACTGTCCCCACGGAGGCCGGTGCGGTGTCCCCAGACAGATAGGTTGCCTGCTGGTCCGAGGCGAAGTCACAGGCTATCCTGGGAGTTCTTTCGCTGGAGGAACTGTTCAACTTCTGGAAACTTTTGGACAGGCTTAACTGGCTATGGTAAAAGATCACAAAAATTACCACACTGAGCGCAGTGAAGGCGAAAAAGGAATTCATCCAAAAGTTCATTATTTTCACTTCCCCAGGGAAGAAATGTCTTCAGAGATTGGAGAAATGATGCGGGTGTCTGGAAGCCGATCTGCGGAAGGCTGATGCCGCGTGGTCACAGCAGGTTTCAGGGCGCCCACCGTCCCTGCTTCCGGGTCCCGTCCATTCTCCGGGGTAGTCAGCAGATACGCCGCTATTCAGCTCTTCCCGCCGCAGGCGCGCGGACCGCCAGCCCCTCCGAGCTGGATCCGGGTAGCTGGAGCCCAGCCCCGCCCAGCCTCCGGGAAGCCTCCTCTTTTGCATACGAAATGCAAGGGGTGCCTCCGAGCTGACTGCATTCTGGAATGGAGTAACTGGATCTACTCCCCGAGCTGCGTTTCTCCATCAGCCCCACCCGCCACCCCTTCCTTCCATCCCTGCGGTTCCGACCCGTTCTCTTCTCCGGTGTCCCCACCCCGCCTTCAGCAGCAAGTGGCTCGGTTTCTGGCCAACCCTGGGGAGCCAAAGCTTGCTGGGCACCAGCTCCTTGAGGTTTATTTTTCTTCTGGTTTCTCTGCTACCTCTTTTTTT